AAGACGGATTGGGAATTCTTTGCAATGGCCGTCGCCGCGCCGAAAGTCCGAGCCAACATCTTACAATCTGTCGCCAAGTGGGTGAATGAGACTGTGACTGATCGCCCTTTTACCGATCTACACATGACGGAAGGGGAAGGAGGGTTTCCCGGACCGAACTTTTTTGCACGGCCCGTGGTCGGAGGACATTTTGCATTTTTGACGTTGGGCCAAGCCTGTAAAGGCAAGGCTATGGATGGCCTGAGCTACCTGAATGACGACGTGACGAAAGAGATGGACGTGCAAGGCATATTGGATGCGGAGAGAGCAGAGGCTGGATGGCACTCGCTCGAGCTGTGAATCAGGGAGTAGCGTTAGCAGCTGCGGAAACCGACAGAAGTTGAGCGGCGGTTAAACCCCTGGCTCCTTTATAGGCATCAGTCTTTATATATCACACAACAAGCAACAAGCATTGCGATTGAATTCTTGAGCTGAGATGTAGCCAAGTGAGCCTTTTTTCTCTCTCTCTTCGTCCCGAGGATCTCGTCTGCCTGTATGAGTCTTTATTTGAGGAGTCTTGAGCCCTCCCTTCGGAAAATGGTCTGAAAAAGGACGACACGCGGCAGGCACCATATACGCTCTGTAAAGGGAGAATTATGGGTAGCAGGTAGGTAGGTATATAGATATATGTGTACTTGGTATCGGGTATGCATCTAGACTTTTAGACTTGACGTCTACCTGTAGATCAATACCCGAAGATCTAAAGTAGCGAGTGATGCAGGCCAGGTATCTAAGCAGATCGTCTCGCGGGTTTCTCTGTCTCTTTCTCTTGTAGCGAAGCGATGTTGGAGGAGAGTGAGGAGAGATGAGCGCAATATTTATATACACAGAGAGGGGACGAGAGAGAGAAAGAGAGAGAGAGAGAGGAAAGGCGTTGGAGCAATACATCCAGTCGACGTCTCGTGGTTGATAGATCGGTCGACCGCTGGATCACTCATCCGCCGCTCACCTCCAACATCTCTTCGACACTCCCAAATTTCTCCCTCGGCTTGCCCTTTTGCTTCCCAATCTTCTTCTCCACCTGGTCTATGTTCTGCCAGTTGCCCCAGTGGATTGGTCTGAGTGGGAAGCTGGACGAGACGGCATCGGCCTGGACGCCCTGCCAACCATCTCGTCTCTCAGTCGGTGCCGTCGTCGATCCTTGAACCTTTTTCTTCCAGTCCTCTACGATTGCTTCGGCGGTTTGAAACGCATCGGTCATGGTGCTGGCGATCACGCCGGTGGGGCCGCGTTTCACCCAGCCTGAGCAGTAGATGCTGACATCGTGTCCTGAAGTCTCGGCTTTCTCCAGTGGCACGACTCGTCCCAGCCCGTCATGCCGAATGGTTCCTTTTCTCTCGTCGAAGTCGACACCCAGGTCTGCCATCCCAGGGATAGCTTCGGCCTTGTAGCCTATCGATCGGAACAGCGTCGATGTGGGTACCAGCTGTGTGTCATCCGTGGTGCTGACTTTGGATTCTGGATCTGCTGGATTTTCGAGTTCTGTTTTTGAGAACACCACTCCTTGCAGGATTTCTGGGTCTGACTGGGACCATTCTAGCGACTTGGGTGCGAGCAAAAAATCCAGAGACCATGATTTTGTGGCGTCTTCCTTCAAAGGGCTCCCCTTTTTCAGAAGTTCCATGAGTCGTCGCTTCGGGCGAGGCAACTTTGACAGGTCTGGCGGGAATAGATGATCTGGTATAGGACGGAAATTGACGTCGTCGAGGTGCAAAAGCTCCCTCACTTCCTTGATCGTGAACGCTGCTTGCATGGGCCCTCTCCTGCCCACGACATGGACATGCTTGATTTTGCTTGCAGAAAGGGCGTTTATTGCGTATTCTGTAATATCAGTCTTTCTCAGAGCGTCGATTCTGCTCAAAAGTGTTCTGGCCACGTCCAATGCCACATTTCCCTGCCCAACAACCACCGCGGTGTCCCCGGCTGTCAAGTCAGGGTCCAGATGTCGGTACTCGGGAAGACCATTGTACCAGCCCACAAAAGCGCGGGCGGAATAGATGTGAGGCTTGTCTTCTCCCTCTAAGCCTATTTTCCGGTCTTTTGACGCCCCATATGCGAAAACTATGGCATCGTAGTGTCTGGCGAGAAGTGGGAGGGGAAGATCGTGGCCCAGATTGATGTTTCCAATGAATGTGAAATCAGGTGACGCGGCGATGGCTTCGAAGGTGTCTTGGACATTCTGCAAGGAGGTTAGGTATGCCGTTGCGTAGGGTGGGAAGGGGAAAGTATCACCTTTACCTCTGGATGATCTGGAGCGACTCCGAACCTGACGAGCCCAAATGGTACTGGCAGTTGTTCATACATGTCTATCCTCGTCCCCCGAATGTCCCTCAACAGTTTTTGAGCAGTGTAGAAGCCTGCGGGTCCGGAGCCAATGATGGCCACGGTAGGAGCTGGTCCATTGCCATCGCGTTCTGCAGGTACATCACTGCTGAAAGGTCTCCGAATAGAAAATGCGATTGAGCTGCGGTAGCTTCGACAAGAAGCAAATCTTGCACGGAATGGAAGACGCAAGCATTGATTGGTCAGCATGGCCAGTGTAACAAGGAACTCGCCATCACCCCCCTACTTCAACTGCAGAAAGCTCTTCAAAAGAAGAGAGGGGGTATGGAGTCACAAGTCAAAGGTTTTGAGCACGGCACCATGAATGGATCTCTCGGAGCAGATGACGGAGTTGTTATCGATAAAGCTTTTTACCGAAATTGAACCGGCCGCGTCAGGCTGCCCCTCAGCCTTGTCGCCTTTCTCAATGTAACTGCGTTGCCACAAAAGTATGCCAACTAGAACAAGAAGTGTCATTGACTTGTCTACCCTCGCAACTAGCCTTCCCTTCCTCCAACGCTGTACAGTCTACTTATCATCCTTTTTGGGGCTTCTTGTTATTCTCTCCCCCACGATCTTCTCCTCTTCTCCTCTTCACCCATACCATTGGTCGAAATGCCGAAAACGCGCTCCTCCAAGCGCCCTCCGTCGACGTCTTCCCCCATCCCCTCGACGTTCACCGACTCACTTCCACTCCCAACGATAATAGTTTTCGACCTAGACTACACGCTGTGGCCCTTTTGGGTGGACACGCATGTCTCCGCTCCTGTTAAACCACAGACCTCAGTCCCAGGGCAATTGAACACCCGCATGCTTGATCGCTTTGGAGAATCGTTTGGATTCTACTCCGAGGTACCTCAAATACTGGCCGCCGCACGGGAGAAAGGCATCGTCATGAGCTTGGCGAGTAGAACCCATGCACCAGACCTGGCAAGGGACATGTTGAAAGGCCTCCATATTCCTGCTTCAACGCAGGGTGAGTCTACAGAGAAACCAGATACCAAGCCGTTAAGAGCAATCGAGTTGTTCTCCCATCCACAAATATACCCGGGTTCCAAAACAACGCATTTCCGCCGTCTTCAGACACAACTTACAAAGTCACCACCATCGTCTGGTGTTGGAACTGTGCCATTCGACGAAATGCTCTTCTTCGATGACGAAGGTAGGAACCGTAACGTGGAAACAGAATTGGGAGTTACATTTTATCTTGTTCCAGATGGAGTCAACAGAGAAGAGGTGGATCGAGGAGTCTGGGAATGGAGGAGAAGAAGAGGAATCACACCGACTGACTTGAGAAACGGGGAGCAGGTTGCTGAGTTGGAGGGCTGACTGTCCAGATTTACGGATTGAAGGATTTGAATTCTGCACATCTCACACTGGCCTCTAGATTGGGGGTAATTCTTCAGGTGGCCGTTCTGTTCGGCGAACTGGACGACGGAGGTTCCTGTGTACAGCGACGGCGCTTCTGTGTGGTATACACTGATGTATTGGATCGACGATGATCAAAGCACGTATATGATGATTTATGGTTAAAAGATAGAGGTAGATTTGGGTCATTTCTGTCCTTGGAGAACGCAGTAGAGCCGTTACAGAGCAGTACGGGGCGCCGAACACTCGTATTGTACTGACCATAGATTGGCAGATTGGATCACTAATATCTTAAATAGATTTCTTGCGCCTTGTCCGCTTGCTGTTTCATGCCAACCCTGGTCGCTTGCCTTAAAACTCAGCCGGCAAGTTCCGCTGCGGGCCCTATACCACTTGTTGATCAGGAGGTTCACCCTGTCCAGGATCCATGTGTCTACCGAGTATCTCTCGCCTCTTCCTGCCGACTTTGGTTACATGTCCAGAACTAGCCCAGAGGATCGAAGGCTACTTGCACACAAGAGTTGACCAAGCAAATTCGGCACGAGACCGGCAGCGGCTATCCCAACTCCTTTTTACCAGCACAAAGGAGACTGGACTTATGTATGTCAAGCGAGGCGACCTCTGATTGCCTTGAGGCTCAGAAACACGTAACGAATGCAAGTTTCAGACTTGGCCAGCCATGGTAGCTGTTCCAATGGTCACAGACTATCGAGCACCTCGTACAAATCACCACCAGGCCTTTAGGCCAGCCAAACAGCCCTTGGCGTGCAGATGAACCAACAGTTTCCATGTCTAGGGTAGACACGAGCCACACAAGCGAACACTTACCAAAACTGAACGGTTGCCGCCCCCACGAGACCTTTCCTGGGTGGGCTGGCTTGAAGCTAACGGCGAGCCTGTCACTGGTGTGACGACTGCTCTGCAGGGAGCGAGAGCATCTTGGGCAGCATGGCGGCTCTTAGGAAACTTGGGTCGTGCTCAGCTGCTCCATATCTCAGCCGAACGTGTCATGAGCGAGATTGAAAGACCCCCCAAGTGTCCTTCTATCTGTCGTGGTTCGCCTTGTTTCGATGTCGGCCGGATATATACTCCATGATGTTTTGTTCATGGATTGTCCTAAACTCGGCGTAGTGACACGGCAGTCTTGTTATTGAGACAGCCTAATACCGAGTGGCAAGGTTCTCAAATTAATCAATGCTTGCTATGTGTTGTCCCACGTCCATCAGGCTGAGCAAATAGCTACAGGCCTCCGGGCAGATCATTCATTCAAAATGAGCCTTTACGACAAAACGAAGGATGAAACCTTTGAAAAAGAGGCATGGAGTGCGGCCCGAGCAGTATTTTCCGGCAATCATGAGCCCATCAACTACCAGCCCTTCCTCAAAGACTATACGACGCCAGAATCTGCGCGGGCTTCGGTCGTACAGGCACAGAAAGAAGCCAATTCCGAATACAATGGCAAGCTCGGTGCCATCCTTGACAAGGTCGACCAGTTTATGAAAGTGGGAGATCTGGCTATCAAGTCGGCTCCTGAAAGTATCGGTCTTGCCTGGACTGGCATCAGACTCTGCCTCCATTCCGTACAGGATGATTTCGCCACCTTCAGTCTCTTCTCTGGGGCATGCGCAGATATCTTGGGAATACTCATCTCGTGCAGGGTGTATGGCCGCTTGTATGCGAGCCAGGACCACCCTCCAGAATTTACCGAGCTTCATGAGAAGGTTCTGGGCTACATCAAGGACACCTACGTGAACATCATCGAGTTCTCGTATCAGATGTGGAAATATGCTCGATCCAATGCCGGCATTCGTGTCATCAAAGGCTTGTTCCGTAGTGCTCAGGGGAAATTCCAGCCAAAGATAAAGGCCATTCAAGACAACGAAGTGCAGATGAACAAATTTGCCTCCCAGGCCAACCAGCAAGTCTCGCAGTACTACCAAAGGAAAGGGCTTGCCAATGACACGACGATGATGAAGGGCCTGTCGGATCAAATGGAAATGCTACAAGCATTGCAAGAGGAAGCCGCCAAACAGAACCAGTTGATGGAAGAATGGATCAAGAGGGACGAACTTCACAGACGAGATCAACGTATGACTGCGGCGGAGATCACGCACGAAAACTGGGAGAGGCAAAAAAAGGAACTACTCTCTCTCGACGACAATCAGCAAGTGCTGGATTCGAAACTCGCTGCTCGCAAGCCAGGAACCTGTGGCTGGATCTTAGAAAACACCAAATTTCAAGACTTTATCAATGCCGAAGGTGGGAACGTTACTTGGCTGGTCGGTACCGGTGGATCTGGAAAGTCCTTTCTCATGTCCATGGTCATCCAAGAGCTGAAGAACAAGGCCCACCTGCACGACTCCCTCGTTCACTTCTTTTTCATATCTAAAGGCTCTCAAGCCACGATGCAGGCTGATCAGATCGAGCGCCATCTTCTTGCGCAGCTCTACCAAGACGCAGCTCAATCGTTGGACGTCTTGGACAAGTGCAACAAGATCATGTCGGATTATATCGAGCACTCAAAGAAGAGTACCAGCAAAACGGCAAGCAAGAAAGCGGGAGATGGGCCAGCTGGATTTGAACAGACCTACACCGCTCTTGCTAAGATCATCAACAAGCGAATCTACCTCATGATAGATGCCTTGGACGAGTGTGCCGATAGAGAGACGCAAGAATTCATCCAAACGATCAAGAAACTAGCCAGCACGCGGGGCCTGAAGATCAACGTCTACTGCAGCAGCAGAGATGAACCTGATATTGCTGCCGCCCTGGAAAATTATCCAAGAATAAATGTCGAAGAGAACAACTCAAAAGATATCGCCGAATTTGTTCAAGCTGAGATGGCAAACCTGCCAGGGTTCACGCCTGTAGAACGTGAAGAGGCTTGTCGAGAAATCACGCAGAAAGCAGGATGTTACTTCCGTTACGTCGAGCTGGCCATGGATTTCATGCGTCGTCCATGGCGAAGACCCTTGTCAGCCCATCTAGCATCGCTACCTTCGGGGGTTGAAAATATTTATGCTCAGCGCCTCAACCAGACTAACCCTGCATACTACGATCTGCTCACTCACTGCCTCACCTGGACTATCCTCGCTGGAGAGGAACTGAGTGTCCAAGAGCTCATCGATGGGTACAAGGGTAGTTTTATGGACGGGGAACCGACGTCGGAGAATGACGATGACCAGGAGAATGTGAACATAGAACTTTACGAGGACCAGATCAGACAAGCTGGAAGTGGATTTCTCCGGGTCAATCCCGACCACACCGTGAGCCTCGTCCACAACACTGTGCGCGACTTCTTCCTGCAGCCAGACAGCGTTATCAATGGGGCTGTACAATCATCGGGTGAGCCTGAATGTGAGTGCGCTCGATGCCAGAGAGAATTGAAACACAGCAAAAAGTTTGTCGTTGTGGAAAGAGAAGGTCACATGCAAATCATCACCACGATCCTTCAGCACCTGCTATCTCCGTCGTTTCAGCGCAAGTACTATGTCAAACCACAAGAGGAACCGAATGACAAGAAGACTGAGCAAGACACAGAGGAAGGTGAAGATGTGGCTAGTGTCAAAATCGAAAACGCCGAAGCACCAGGAGAGGCGGCATCAGGAGAGCTGGCACAAACAGACGCTCAGGAAAAGGATATCCAGAGCAACGGTATTGTGGCGCAGGATCAAGGCCTTGTTGATCAAACAGATATCCTCGATGGCGTACAGCAAATACCCGAGCCCAGCGGTGAGGACGCAACTAAAGAAGGGACAAACGCCCCTAGGGAGCCGTCAAGTAATGGTGTGTCCGATGACCTGGATTCCAAGTCTGCAGTGCCAAACGGTGGTTCAGACCAAACACATGAAGACGACGCCCCGCTGGACGGCGAGGGGCCACAAAACAACGACAAATCTGGTGCAGCCCTTGAAGCAACAGATACCCAGTCTGTGGCAGACTCCGATGAGAACGTGGATTTGACGGACCAGGACCAAGCTCGACTCTGGGATCTGCAGTCAGATCAAGAGAGCTGTCACCCTCGGTACGAAATCTCGAGATTGAGGTGGCATTTGACGCAGCTGGAAGAAATCTATCCCGCCACAGAAAGGTCTGGCGAAGCCTGGTCCAAGCTACGCGAGCTCCTCGAAAGGTTCCTGGACCACGAGTCTGAGGCGTGGAGAGGTTGGGTCCGAACATTGGCCGCGGCGGGTCTACCAGTTGACACCATCGAAATGTACACCGACGCCAGAGAGCTACATCCTATAGTGCTAGCTGCGTGCTGTGGCCTGACCAGCCTTGCACATATACTCTTGGCCCGGCCTAATGCCTCGGAATTTGTCAACCTAAGGGTGCCCGAGGGGATGGGTGTGCTGTGCTTTGCAGTCTTTTATCAGATGTTAATGCTGAAGAATGTGGATTCTTTTTACCTGGCCATGCTGGAGGCGGGCGCAGATCCGAACACAAACAACCATTGGGGGGAAGAGGACCTCGGAACCGCGTTTCATTTTCTTCTCTTGTCGGACACGGTGACCTTGGCGCAGGTCAAGATGTTCCTCGCACACAACGCCGATATCAATACACCGGACGAGACTGGAAACAATGGCCTACACTTCTTCGCTCTTGGAGACGCTGGCATGGATATCGGTGTGGCCCTGGTCCAGGCCGGGGCGGATATTCACCTCCGTAATGGCAGGGGCGAGACCGTCATGCATCTCCTCGCCCGTCGGTACAACTGTCACGTTGACGCGATGAAATATTTCATTGAGCAAGGGGCCGAAGTCGACGCCGAGGATGAGGCCTCAGTAAGGCCTCTGAGAGAAGCCGCCGAAGCAGGACATGCTGAGGCGGTCAGATTGCTGCTCGAACACGGGGCCGACATTGAGGATGTGAACGACTATGAACAAACGGCACTCTTTGCTGCGGCAATGATGGGCAAAACTGAGGTGGTCAAGGTGCTTCTAGATCAAGGAGCCGATCCACTCAAACGGAACTCCCTCGGAGCCACCCCCTTCGGAATGGCTTGCCGATACGGCGACGCCGAGTCGTCTCTTATCCTGGGAAGAGCCATGGTGGACAAAGGAGAAGTCGAGCACCTCAATTGGCAGAACACTTTTGGGAAGACGCCCATCATGAGAGCCGCCTCTCGAGGAATTTCGGACGTGATTGACTTTATCCTTGATCACGTCGACGCGCAGGCCGCTCTCACCACCGTCTCCAAGAAGGGCTGGTCGGCTCTGCACTATGCGGCGCTCAGGGCGCGCCCTGAAGCGACAATGACTCTGCTGAACCGTGGGGCCGATAGTCAGTGTAAGGACTTGCAGGGTAAGACACCTCTACAGCTGTGTTATGCAAGAATCTGGACGAAACCGACTGAGGACCGAGAGAAAACGATATCTGCGTTGATCGACCACGACCAGCAGGCGGCCATTGCGGAGATTGAGTTGCTTCACACGATGGCGATCAACGATTCACCCAAGGTGGTGGCCAAGCTGTTGGAATGCGGCGCCAATCCGTATGCCACGGACGAACATGGCTGGAACGTTGTCCAACTTGCCGAGCAATACGACCGACCGGACGTCGTCGAAGTGATCAAGAACTCGAAGCTGGCGACGGCTAGTCGGCCTTCCAAGTTCGTAGGGTCTTTCTCAGCTGTGCTCGTCGGCTCTCCTTCTGGCTTGGAGATTGAGCTGCTTCAGCGAGGCGGCGAGATGGCGGCGACCGAACCCTTATGCTACACGACCGACCAGTCATTCGTCACCGACCACCCCATCCCGGCCTCGGCGGAGCGGTATTACTTTGAAATGACGATTGCCGATCGCGAGGTCAAGGTCGACACGCCAATGTTTGTGATTGGAATCACTCAAAAGCCCATCGGATCCACCAAGCAGTGGTTCCCGGGGTGGTCGAAACCGGGCACCTCGAGCTGGGGTTACCACAGCGACGACGGCAAGATCTGGTGTGTCGCGGACCCTCCTAAAATCAAGGACCTGGGTTTGGCGAGACAGTACGGGTACGGCGACACGGTCGGGTGTGGGATCGACGTGAAGAAGCGCACCGTCTTTTGGACCCTGAACGGAACAAGGTTGATGAAGGCCGGCTTCCAGAACGTCCGTGGTCAGATCTATCCGATCATCGGGATCCGAGACCCGGGCAAAGTCAAGGTCAACTTGGGCCTTGACTTGAAGGAGGAGCCGTTTGTGTGGAAGCCTGGTACCACGTGCGACTTTGACAAAGACATCCCATCTCCGAGTCTGAGGCGGTTGAAATCGGATCGCTGACCGGAAGATTTCTTATTTGGTGAGATGTCATGATTCTCTTGGATTTGTTGTCATTGGGGAGCGAGATTTCGAAGACGAGGCTGTGTCCTTAGCGTGGATGAGCATGTGGTATGTACCAGAATTGACTTGGCTGCATGTTGTTATTGCTACGAGCCCGCAAACAAGCCACTCACCACTCACTGTGTTGGAACAATATTAATCGGTTTTGGCCACGTTATCACGATACAGGATACATCTACCGGCAATAGGGGGGAGATGCTCCTCTACTGTTAGCTTGGCTTGAAGTATGTGATGGGGACCGCCAGCCTAGCGAATCAAATTGCGAGAAATCCATCTATTCGAACCTATATGGCCCCAGTCTTTCAGCCGAATACATGTGACATATCATTTCGTGTACACCTGCGTATCTAGGAGGAATGGGGGAGAGTGTTTTCTATGATATCTCCCCGGTAATAGGTATTTATGTAATGAATGCCCAACACCACGCACACCCAACGCATGCGAGCAGGATCAGTCAATGCACACACCACCAGCCCGAGGCTACGACGTCCACCACAGCCACCAGCCCGAGGGTCTCGGCGAAGACAGAACATCCGGCGGAGCAACACTATCGAGACCATGGGTGCAGATTGTGAAGTCTATTGTCTCGTCTCGGTGTGCGAATATATTAGAGTATTAGAGTATAAAATAATAAGGGGCCGACAATATGGGCAATTGTAAGATATATTTGTGGCCCAGACTGAGTGACTAGCTAGGTATAGAGTACCAGTAACCGAAGTATCCCCCTTTCCAAGCAAGTAGGCAGCCCAACCCAACGTCCTCGAAAGGCCAGACAGACAGACAGACAGACAGGTCGACATGCCTTCGCCGTATCTATCCTTCATCGAGTCTCGGCCGTTACCCGAGTCCGGCACTGACGCGGCGACGTGGGAGAAGTTTTATACCACTGAACATGTATGTGCTACCTACCCACCCATATACCTCTCTATCTATGTCTTGAGTACCTGAGTACCTAAGGCATATATATCCTTGGACGTGACACATTCATAACACAACTTTATCACATCTCCAGAATCGAATAATTCATGACCCTCCTCAATGCAATACCATAGAAAAGCATTACTGACCATCCAACTCCCACAGCTCCCCGACTTCGTCAACAGCGGCCTTGCCACCCGCGCGGCCTTTTACCGCGAGACATTCGACTACGCCAGCGCGCCGCCGCCCGAGAAGAGGCCCTCACGCAACTGCCTCGCGCTGTACGAGACCGACTTTGAAGAACTTCTCAAGTCCAAGATCCTGGCCGAGGGCGGCGTCAGGGCCGGCAGTCACTTGTTTCCGAAAAAGTTTGACACGTTTGACAACGGCGAGTTCCACGCCAGGAATTATCGCCTCGTTCAGGACTTTGATCCGAAGGGGTGGGGGAATAGTGAGTCTCACACCTCTCTCTCTCTCTCTCTCTCTCTCTCTCTCTCTCTCTCTCTGTTTCTGACTCTGCGTTTCTTTCCATCTCTCTTCCTGTCTCTTTCTCATATTTTATACAACACGCGCTGGGTGTCGGATGGGTCTGTACTCTTCTAGCTTGCTGCAGATGCTAACACACTAGACTACCCAAATCATATGACACTTATCATGGTGATTCACAGTCAGAACAAGAAAAACACAACAGATAAAGAGTAGACACTAAAGCAAGTATATCAGAA